GTTGGGAATTGAGTGCAGACAGCAGGGTTCGGCCACGAGAATTCGTGGTTCTGGAACCCCATTGTTGGTGCTTGGCATTTAGGTCTGCACCCATGATGAAGTGATGTCCTAAGGAGTCGAGGAGAGAACTGAATTGGGCATTGGATATGGATCGGTTAGGAGGGCAATACGCTGATGCAAGAGTGACCGGAAAGGAGAAGGTTTTTATCACGATAGCGGTGGACTGTAGGAAATCATGTATTGGTAATGGGAGTACGTGATGGGAGAGGGATTGGTGTACAATTACAGCAGTACCGGCATGTGCTTTTCCGTCAGGGTGGTCAGTACGATATGTCAGGTATTGTGGTATATTGAAGTGTTGTTTAGTGGTTAGTCGAGTTTCAGTAATTAGTGCCACATCAATGTTCTTGTCAAGTAGTAAAGTAGATAGTTCGTCTGTATGATTTCTAACACCATTCGCATTCCAAAGGAGAATGGATATGGGTTTAGGGATGTGAGTCATTTAAGGATTTTTCAAAGGAGGGATGAGGTGAGATACGAGATTCGTGAGGAGTGATATGAGTGGAGTAACAAGGGATTTGAAATCGGTGAGGAAAGATGCTAACAAACTTGTGAGATCTGTTGCATTTGAAGGAGGAGGAATATGAGGAATTTGTTGTTGGTGGTTAGGTATATTAGGATGAAGAGGATTTTGAGGTTGGGTTTGAGGTTGTTGTTGTGGCAGGGCTTGACATTTATCGGTTAAAGTCTTACCTCTAAGTAGTTGGGAGAATGATACATCATTGTTTACAATTCTGGAAGGCTCTCTCTCTCTTCTTGTTCTTAGTGCTTCATCTTGAATCCGGTTTTTCTGGTGTCTGGTTTTGAGATTCTTGTAAATTTGGCAGCCTTTGTAGTTGGCCGGGTGTCCCTCCAAGCAAAGGGCACATACTGCTGGATCTTGTATAGGTTTGGTGCACTCTACAGATTTGTGCTGTTCACCGCACTTCACGCAACGCGGCAGATGGTAGCAATATGTCTTCGTGTGGCCATAGGTCTGACAATTATGGCACTGCACGATGTCTCTCTTGGGATATGGCTTCTCAACTTTCACCATTGTGTAGTATATTCTTGTGATATCATATATTTTTTCGATACCTGGTGATGGCTCCAAGTCCACGAAAAACAATGGTAGTGGGATCCTATTTCGTAATCCTGGCTGCTCCCTGTCCTCCTTCAAAACGTTTGTTACCTGGCGTACATTGAAACCAAGCGTCGTTAGTTCTTCTTTAATAACTTCAGTGGGGGTTGAGGAATGTAAATTTCTTATCACTACTCGTAAAGCTCTTTCCTGCCTCAGCTGGTAAGTGTGAAAATTCGCATTTGTTTCTGATAAGTACTTCACTATTTTTCGGTAGGCTTCTGCAGAATCAGGTGTTATTTTGGTGTCATTGGTTCTGTTAAGGCATGAATAACTGCCAGAGCAGATTTTATTTAGTTGGGTGCAGAACATCTGGAAATTTTTTATATTTTTCACAAATATCGGAGGAGGCTTTGGTTCTCTGGGTATTGCTGCAGACTCCATTACTTCTCTGTCATTTTGAAGCACTTGGTAGGGGTTTGGAGTAAAGAAAGGTGATTCTTCAATCGTTTCTTGTGCAGACGTACCTGGTTGGGGCTGAGGTTCTGGTTCTGAAGTGTTCATTTTGGTCACTGGAGGTATTTCTCGTAGGCAGCGACGTGTCCTTTGTTTGGCTGGTGAGCTAACTCCGTCTGACCGAGACCTCTTGGGCACCTTACTGGCCATCACTTGCTGGTCATACCGCATATCATAAGAGAAAAATAAATAAATAAATAAAAAAAAAAAAATAAAATAAAAATTTTTTTTTTTTTTTTTCTTAAAATAACAAAAAAAAAAGATGTCAACAGTAAATATCAACTGCTCTGATATACACTTTAACTGTATCACGTGAATAATCAGAGAGATTCCGCTATAAAATTGGTAAAAACTGAGAGAGGAGTTGAGGAGACAACCTTCTCATCAGCTGATCCACTGCCTTATACGAGTTAGTTTCCTTGTCGATTGTGAGGAGAGAAAATGTGACTAAAAATTAAGATCCTAGCCCCAAAATTAAAGCCACTAATATATTAGTTTTAAATAATAAAAATTAAAGTAAACTTGATGATTAGAAATTTACCTCTGCTTAATCATTCGTTTTTCTCTTAATATTGAAATTTTACAATATTTTGATGAGGGTTATTAGAAATATTTTTTTAAATCCAAATATTGCACACAAAAAAATAACAAATCATACTTAACGCAATATTTCGGTAAGCATCTATAAACATTTTGTTCATAGAAAAAATAAGACAATAGGGAATATGGCAATTTCAAGTTAGGCTTGAGGGCATAAAAAAAAGACATTGGTATACATTTTGGAAAATCCAAAGAAAGTGGCACTATTAAAAAAACATCGGGAATATGAAACTATTTAAATGCCTAATAAATATAGAGAGATAATACATACGAGTCGAAAATAACTCCTGGTTGAAAGTATGACCATTTTGGATGATACAATTACGTGAACAAAAAAGATAAGTCAAAATAACAAATATTTTTTTAAAACATGTTTGTTTTCTTTTCGATAACAAACAAATAACGAAATTTATTTGAATAAATATCTTTCATGAAGATCTGAATTTTCATGTAAGACTATTAATTTTGTGTTAGAAGTACTGAAACCCATTTCTGGACCTAAACTGCTTTAGCTATTTCTGTGATTCACAAACATAATCATAATTTACCGGGTATCTTTCAGTGTATAAATACAATGTGTACAAATTTATAATTAAGAAATGTAGTAAAAATATAAAATAAGTTAAATATAAACACAGTTCAATGGTTTTTAATTAAAATTAGACACCTATTCAATAATTCAAACAACTGTTAGGAACTTTATTTCAAGCTTTTAAAAGAAATATTCTTTTGTAAAATTTTAAATTCAGTTTTCTCAGAACAGTTAATATGTTATCATCTTTATGCACACAACTCTTCAATTACTATGTCTTACTTACTCCATCCCAGATGGTCGGTGGGGCTGTATGATTTGGGAATTTTTTATTTAAATCACAATTACCCAAGTGTTTTTTTAATTTGGTTAAAGTTAGTATAATTAAAGGAACCATTAGATAAATTATTGACGACGATATATTAATTGTAACGGTTTTGATGTAACACTCGTCTTATGTAACCGTATCAACTCCCTTAATAACATACATTTCTAATGGTTGAATTATGTCAACGTCACAGAGGTGAATCGCGTAGACCAAGCTGTATAATGAAGATGTCATAATAAACGATTATGTCTAATTACCGGAGACTTGAAACCCATTAGCCTATTAGTTGGAAACTATAATTATCTAATAGCCTGCGCCCACATTAGATATGTTCTCTTTGACAACTGACAATTATGTCAATTCAGCCGAATCCTTGAACATCCGGGCATTCGAATTGCAGCAGTTGCATGCGAATAAGAACTGCAACAGTCATTGCTAGGCAATAGTGTCATCCAAGAAAAAAAAATTGCATAAATCATATCATCAATATTGATGGAACACCATGCAATCCAAGTCGGAGAATATTTAGTTAATTCTGTTTTTTATTCATTGATAACGACAACACCATGTAAAAATGATGAAACAGAAAAAAAAACAATTTTTTTTTCTTTAATTATTTTTACAAACTTATAAGCTAGCAAAAGATTATATTTTTAGCCTTCGCTACTTAAACATCATGGGGTGATATGCACACAAAATAAAGTATCGGTCATAAGTATTGAAAAGAATAGTATTTTTTAGCTAGACAGACTATTTATATTTGAGCTACACAAAGGTATACGCATATTTATTTCCCAGGATATTAACAGTTTATCACTACATCACACAGTGAGCATTAGAAAACTAGAAAAACAATATATATATAACTGAAATAAATGTAAGCTATTTTGTTTCAAACTCAAATTAAACAGTCTCATATGATAAATTTCACCCCATCACAACAAAATATCAGAATAACTTAAAAGACGCATGCATGACTGTATAGCCTCTTCATCCATCAAAATGCATCAACGAAAAATGAAATGAAATGAAAGAAATGAAAATATTTTTTCATTATCCTGCGACTGTTGTCCATTTAGGACAAATTATAGATATAGAAAAAAAACCTGAGTGGACATGCATTAAATTAAATATTTAGAAATCTCCTTAAAATTAAAATATTGGAAGAAGAAAAAAAAAACAATAAGAACATTCAGATATATATAAAACACACAAGGGAAAATAAAATAACCTAAGTAAACAAAATCATTTCTGATGGAACATAAAAAGTTCTCTTTTCTACTTTTCGTGATCAATCGGGTTGGGAAAGGAATAGGTGCTTAAGAAGGAGAGATTTAAATGAGGAATCTGATTGTGCATGTCGGATATTGGGAGGGATGGTGTTTCAGATGGAGACGGCTTGAATTTTAAAGGAATTGTCAAACCGCAGCAGTTCGGTGAGGAAGTGGATAGAGGTCAGAATTACGGGATCTAGTGGGACGAGATGGAATGGAATATTTAAATTGTAGGCTGTGAATGAAAAATATAGGAAGATCGCTGAATGCTGATGGCTTGGTATGGAAAGGTAGCAAGGAAGTACAGACGGCGGTTGGATGGATAGAGCCACTTCAACTTGGTGTAATACTGGGTTATATGCATATCTCTCGAGATTCCGAAAATTGAATTAACTAATCCGAAAATACGAATTTATTATCTTCCTACGGGCGTGATGATTAAACATGTGATTCCACGCTTTCGTAACCACCAATGAATTATCCTGCCTAGAAACATAAGAATAAATTATATTATAAAAAGGAGGCCGATTCTGTGAGAAAAAAAATGAACGAGGTATTTCGAACGACCTGTTAAATAAAGTAAATAATCCAAGCTAAATCAAAAGAAATTCTAGTTAATTTTTTTTTCCTCTACTCACCGTGGTGACAGGAATGGTCGAGCTCTGGAATCTTGCTAAGGACATGTAGGAGTGTCTCCGAGTGCCCTCTCCAATCCTCAGCCGGTTCTATTGTGTAACTCCCTGTAGACGTCCAAATATGGCCAGTCTGAAAAAAAAAATACAATAATTAGATACGTGACATCGAATATTAACAACAATTTGAACAAGGAATTAAAAAATAGTTTCAGTGAAACTATTTATGAAAAACAGTGCTGTTTGATTAATTTCAGATCACAGCCTTAACACTAAGTACAGTTTTCAAGTTGACTTCTTTTGAAAATAATGTATTGCGTAAAATATCCAAAGCTAAGAAGAGTTAATCAATGGCACGAAACGATTGAATTATTCATTTAGCTTCATTATATTTTTATTATACCATCTAGTTTTTTTATAGTGTGCTTAGAGACTCATTTTAGATGTCAAAACGGCTTTTCGAATCTCCTGTAAAATTACTTTTGCATGATTTACGACCTTTTCCATGCCAACGCCTAAATTAATGTAAAAATAACTAACTCAGTATTCCAAGTTTTCTTGTATACACTACTAAAACACTACTCTGAAATGCTTTTATTAGTACTTTACGAATCATATAATAGTCACAAAATTTTCAGGTTTGTGTCATATAATAATTTTTATACCTCAAATTAAAAAATAGTTACCACGAAGCGGCGCAGGGAATGACCCTTCAGCTTCGCTAGGCTCTATTCTTGTTATTTAAGATTACAGCTTATCTAGAAAGGTATAATTTAACTGTTATCACCGGACATGGGATTGTAGTATTATCACAGTAAAGCAGCTTAAAAGGTTTATAACACTTATCTCACAATTTCCTTTCGACCAAGTAGCTATATGGCAAGCTTCGGCATAAGGCTTGCAAATCAGTGATAGCCCATAAAGAAACCTATCCTTTCTGGTATAGTTGGCGTGATATCGGACAATACCCCACACCTACCCATAACAGGTTTCTGAGAAGAAGTTCTTCTAGGCAGCTAACGAGCAATAAGGTATTTCTGGCACGTAGCGGCATTCTGTACAACCATTTCGTACTCCCCGTGGAAGGGCGATCCGACGGCGGGAGGAAGCCGGGATGAAACTAAATGCTCTCTCGTGCCAAACAACACTACACCTTCACAACTTTGTAATTCTGCCTGTGAAACCCTTCTCCTCTGCATATTCAACGCGACAGAACGACTGAGATCATCTATTCTTCTATAGATAGATCTTTTATCATGCCATGTTTAAAAGATCGTAAACAAGATCGAAAACACAGTGGTCGGCACAATCAAAATCTCAATTCGATCAGTTAATGAACGCAATTGATGATAGTCAGTGTCGTAAAATATGGATCGAATCGTCCTACTACGCTATTCTGATCCAGCAATGCTATTTCTGTCTATATTATACAAAGTACGTTCACCCTTGATCAAAAGATAGAAAATCATATTTTTGATGGGAATGGTGTTTCGAAACGTAAACAACGCAGGTTTCTGGTTAACGAATATAGACTGACCATCCATGTAAACATCGAAACGCTGGCACACGCTGTATACTACTTCTAGAGAAAAGCCAGCGATCAATAAACCCTCAGTTAATTTTTTTTTTCAAATGTAACATTTTGGTTTACTTCCAAAAGTATCGAATTGAATAGCGTCGTTGTCACAGATCCTCAAAATATACTTTAACAGATAAAGATAAAACTAAATAATGAAAATAGGATATCTTTATTATGTTATTGAGTTTGCAAAATAAATAAATAAACATAATTGTAATTATTACGAGACTACAGAACTTAATAGTTGTGAACTGTCATAGCATCTGACATTCACCGATAAACGTCATTATAAATTTTTTTTTTAAATTCATTAAAAAAATACTGAACTTACCTTTTAGTGATTGTGACATAGTATTTATTTAATACTAATATTTATATAATATTTAATATTAAGTATTTCAACAAAAATATCCATTATTATTAAAATAAATCGATATAAATATTTATTTCCTTTACCGAATAATTTCTCTAGTTGAAAATTAAATTTAATGAATTAGCTTACTAGGTAATTACGTCAGAGATACAAAGCCATCTAAATCGGAATTGTACTGGATTGCAAGGTCTCAAATAACGGAAACCGTTCAAAAATAAAGTTAATAAACTTTTAATAAGGTATACATATGTTCAATTTCAGGTCACTCAGGCATTCCAAGAGCAGGTCTATTCTCGAAACAGAAAGGCAGAACTATCCAAGACCCTTTTAAGACTAGTCCTCAATTATGCCTTCGAATGTTGAACCTTAGTTCAACAGTAAGGTATAGAGCAGAGGCCCTTCTCCTAAGCTTCGATAGAAGAATTGAGGAGAACTAATGACCCAATTTGCGCCATTGGAACCTGGAGGGTAAGGACGGACGCTGAGCTAACAAGATTACACTAAATCCCAGATATCGTAAGGGTAAGTAGGACCTCTTGGATGGGCAGGTTGTATAATCAGATGACCCTGGATCCGATTCCTAGATTGGTCAGAGACGAAATGATTTAGGGGACAAGAAGAGTGGCAAGAAAGAGGCTTGGATGATTCGATGGAGGCACAATAGAAATTAGCAGTGGATACGAGGTCCATCTTGGAAATCTGCAACTAGAGAGTAGCAACAAGCAAAAGAGAAGAATGAATGACCAAGCTGCAAGAGGAACAGTATGAGAGCAGAACAAGATCGAAACAATTAGTGGAGACTAGTAAAGAAGAGCCATTGGCTAGATCAAGTTATTGCAGGTATAAATAATTTATACGTTCTTCACTCAGGAGGCTGGGAACAAGGCGTTGAGCTCTTTGCAGTGGAAGATAAGAATCTACTCATTATCAAGAGAGATCTCCTATTCCTGATGAAAAAAAGTGCACTACCTTTAGATCTTCGTGTAAGTATGGAAAATGAGAGTGGAAAAATACTCTAAAAATCACGAGAAAATAGCCTGATTGGCATATTCTTTACTTGTACTTTTATGAATAAACATTACAGTACTAGCAGACTTTATGGTTAAAAAGATTTAATACAGTAGAATATATTTTTATTTTCATTCCTGAAGGCTCACTCCCCTCATATCCTCAAAGAAGTCAAACATTCCTTCAGGTAACAGGTAAATACCCTCGTCCTATCCAAACAACTATAGAATCGAGCTTCCTTAAGCCTGTCCGACTCTTGAAATAACAAACTGAAGAGCCTCAAAAAGTATTTTGTTTATTTATTTATGTTCATTAATTCAATTTATAGGCGGCCATTTCACCAGTCATTCGTGGAATTCGACTTGCAAATCGGGGTACAGATATCGAGGACCAGAAAAGAAAAAAGTATTCTCATAGGTATCACGATACATCTTTAATCTAATCTAGGATAATAATATTAATTAGATGGAATTATGTGCGAAAATTCCAAATAGTAATTATTTATTTAATAATAATAAACAAAAAAATATCAAGTATTTTACATTAACTTATTTTTATTTAAAAAAGAAGAAGATCATTTTTGAACAGAAAAAACGCTTAATCTGAAAATTAAAAAAATTTGAAACACGTCACTATTTTCGTATTCAATTCGTATTTCATTATATTTATCTGTCAACTTATATAAAATCATTAATGAAATTTATTTAAGTTTTAAAATGAACGTTTATCAGTCATTTTCCTAGAAGACCGCAATTATGCTGATTCATGAATGCTTAGATATTCTAGACATCGAGGAATATATTTTAAACATTGTATTAGATTTCTAAGAATCCTCTAACATTAGTCATTATGAACACCTAAGCATGTGGTACTTGAACATTAATATTAATATTTTCATTTTTATTGCGTCTTAGGTTTATTTTATTTTTGTTTTATGTACAGAGAGTGGTTTTTCTTTCTTTATTACCCAAGTTGTATATTATTTGTTTTATTTAAAATCGAAAAATTGTTACACTTGTATTTTGTAAAAGCAAATGTTAAAAGAACCCTTTTGTATGTTATTTTAATTGTATATTTGGTATATAAACATGAAATAATATTTTTTCAAATGCAACTAATTATTAAATGTTTCATTAAATTAATATAATAATTAACATTTATTATGATAATTAACAATAATAAAGAAAAATCAAGAAGGAAGTGTTACAAAACGGCCATTTAAGTGCTCTTATATTTCGCCATTCTATGATTTTTTTTTTTAATAACATTTATTAATTTAAACTTCTTTGAAATGAAAACAATTGAAACAATAAAAATTAAATGAGCTAAATATCCATCGCCTTTTTATTCATATTTAGTGTGAAAGAACAATTTACAATTTAAATAGTATAATTCTTAAATCATTTAAATTGTAAATACTATAAAGTAATTAATTTGCAATAAAAATATTTACCAATAACAGTAAGCAAACATTTTTTTTTAGTGAAAACTGAAATAGTTAATATTGTAAACATACTCTCGAAATTAATAACTTCTGATACCTTTACCAAAAAAAAATATTATAATTTAAATTGTACGAAAATAGAATTTCTATTTACCAAATATATACATACCATTTTATAGAACAATATAAAATATAATTATTGTTAATAAAATAGGATATTTAAAATAATAATTAACAGTTCGTTGTAACTTTGTAAAAGTAATGTCTCTGTTGCTGAACTATGCTAGATAATAGAGCAAATTTTATTATTTATTTTTATTTCAAACTGAAATAAATCAGTCAATTTATTCCTTATACCAGATATATGTAAATACATTATAATTAATAATAAACGAAGAAAGTTATCGGAATAAATATGATAAATTATTTTAAAACATTTTATTTTTGAACAGTACGGGATGATGTAATAATGCATTTCTTATACACATGAGAAGGTGGGTGAGAAAAATTATCAGAAATTGAAACGATTGATTGAACAATTGATTAGAGTAAGTACATGAAGATGCTACGATTGTAAAGTTTATGAAAAAATTATAATGTAAGCAAATAATATATCCTGATCAAACTTTATTTACAATGTTTATTGACAATAGCGATGAAAAACCATAGTAATTATTGAACAGAATAACCAAGAAGACGTCAGAGACCTTCTTATGGAATAAACAAGACACTGATTGAACGAAAAATTCTGGCATCATTCCCATATTAAATTAATCAAAAAAGTAGAAAAAGAAGAATGAACCTAATCCAAATATTAAATTGATTGTTAGTAAAGCATTTCACTTTGCTTAGCGAACACTGCTGAAACGACGGATATAACATGGATAAGTCCTTAAAAAGCTTCTGGGTATTAAGAGAATCGGTAGTCAGAAGTGTGTAGGTAACGATGGTAAATAGTATAGGTGGGAAATCTGCGGCCTCTATGCCGTATGTGGCCTACGATGCCGCAGTTCCACACCCGCGGTATATAGTATGTAACAATATATATAGTAGTATATAGTGGTAACGATACTTCCTTATCTACAGGCTATATTATTATTTTAAATGGAGTCTGATGTAAACCTAAATAAAACAATATTTTTATTAAATACGAATGACTGACATATACTATATGAACTGAAATTTACTATATAAAATTTTCCCTAGTACTATCAAACCTACTATATAATGGCTTAAAAAAAAAAATAGTAATTTAAATTAGAGACGACTTGATAACGTGGCTGTGGTCGAGCTTGTTAGTGCAGTGGTGCCAACCATTCATATCGGTTTCGACTTGGAACACCATCCTACCTTTTTTTCTTATTCGGGATACATAAGGATGTCAAATTTTTTTAGAATAATTTAGAAATAAAATGTAAAATCCCAATAATAATAAACATATAATGATGGTTGATAAAAAAATTCCTATCAATTAAAATCTCTCAAGGTTAAACTGAAAAGGTCGAGATGAATTTAACTGATTCCTTATTTAGTATTAATTAGAAAATGATAACTCTTATATAAAACTGCGAAGATTGTAACATGAAGATGTATTAATAATCCTTACACTGATTTATAAAGGAATTGTCATAGAATAGAAATGTAAAGTGATTTCAGATTTAAATAACCCACGTTTAAACATGAACCTATAACTCTTCTGCCTGTTGACAGATACAAGAAGATTGTTTGTCCCTCTGACACATACTAGTTTATAGATAAATATAGATAGATAGCACTACATTTTATGCTTTATTTT